TCTTTTCTTTGGTATTGGTATGTAGACTAACCTCTTTCAATCTGTTGGCCACTATGTTTTTCTCCAGATTTGGTGCCTTAAGTTTGGTTAGAACTTTTACTAATTCTTCTTCTGTTGCTTGCCATATTTCTGTAGATATTCCATTAATTGCTGCAGCTTTCCACTGTTGTTCTTTAGCATACCAGTTCAAGGTTGAAACCTGAGTCTGGAGATGGTTTGAAGTCTTTCCTTGCCTTTCTATGTCTATTCCTATTTTCAGTGTTTACAGATGTTGTTTTAATACTGCTTCTTGTCTCTTCTAACCAGTCTCTGAAATTCTTTGTTAAGTTCTTTCCTGATCTTTGTCTTTTTTGGCTTTGGTTTCTCTTCTTGGCAATTTCCACCATTTCTTCTGACATCCAGTTTGTTTTCTTCTGCTTCTTGATCTTTTTACACTTATCCTTAACAACTTCTTTATTTCATTCCACAGTTCCTTTGGTTTCCTATCAATGAGCCTCAGGACTTCAAAGCAATTCCTGAAGTTCTCCTTGAAAATGCTGGGAATATGCTCAATATCATAGTACAGAATTGGGTTGACTTTATTATTCCACTTTAGCTTGATTTGGAACTTGCACATGAACTGTTTGTGATATAGTCAATTTGATTTCTGTGTACTCTGGTGATATAGGCATCATTTTGGTTGCTTGAAGACTGTGTTAGCAATGATGAAATCATTGGATTAGTAGAAAGTGGTAAGTAATTTTCCTGCTTCACTTCTGTTTCCTAGGCCATACAGACCAACTAAGTTTTCCTTCTTACCATTTCCAACTTTGGCATTCCAGTCTCCAACCATAAGCAGCACATTTTGTTTGCATGTTCTGTTGATTTCAGATTGATCTTGACCATAAAACTAATCAACCTCCTCTTCTTCTGCATCAGTGGTGGATAATCATCATGTGAAAGAGTTGTCTGCAAAATCTAATTGATATTATCTGGTCACTGAATGCACTTTACCTAAGTATTGTCTTTGCTATATCTTTCCTGATATGAAAGCAACACAACTTCTTTTATGTTTTTCATTTCCTGAGTAGTTAGCAGTATGACTTTCCATGTTCCCACTAAAAATCTGTCTGTGCAGCTTTGGATTTTCTTTTCCTGCATGGCAACATCTGCAACTAGATGTCTAGAAAGCTTTAATCTAGCCACGTCATAAAAAACATTAGTACTCTGAAAGATCCTCAGCTCTTCCTCAGTAGCATTTTGAGTGCCATCAGACTGAGTGGCCCATCATCCAGCACTATATCATCAATCACTTTACCTTGTCTATCGGTGTGGTTTTCTTGTTAAAATACAGGAGTAGTTTACCATCTGCCTTCTCCCGCATAATATGAAATGATGCCTTTGCTGTTGTCACCAAAGTGATCATTAACCCCCAGCATCTTCCTATATTGCTGCTGCTTGATATAGGCACCTGCTTGCTTTAGCTGGGCAGCTAGGATAACTTTCACATCTTGAGTGACCTGCTAGGAATATATACTCTTGGTGTACACTCCTAGACTTCTTCACTCATCCTTCCCAGGAACACCTCCCCTCCCTGCTATGATGAGGCAGCACAGTAGGACTTGAGGGGGATATGATTAAGTATTATTAAATATGGTGATGCACCAATAGTATAAAGACACTGCCAACATTGCAAGCATCTTTCCTAATATTTGCCATACAGATATGTCAATGAATATGGCAGATAAAATCCAGAAAGAGGTTAATTAGAGTTTCAGGAAAGAGCACAGTAATGGGCTACCTATTCAAAAAGCTATAGACAAGAATGATATAATATTACATGAAACTATAATGAAAGCATAATATTATGACAGCAAAAAACTGGGCAAAGAATTATAAACTTGGGCTGGGTAAGGTTTCTATGACTACTGCTGCTTCCATAGTAATACCTAAAAAGTAGCATATAGTATTTAGGTACCATAAAAACACCATGGTCTCTGACAGACAATTAAACCTTAAACCACTAAACTATTTCCATCTTGTAGAAGACTCCTTTGGCTCTTGAAATACCACTTCATGGTGATAGTAGGGGACTCAGGGATACCAGAGATACCCAATTCTGATGATACTAGAGAAATAACTAAGTTTTCTCTGTAGCAGTTATGATAGGTTTCAGATATAATCCCAGCCTGTAGAGAACCTATAGTTTTGAATCTTAATCTAATGACATCTCAGGAAAAAGAAAAAAGATAAGCACTTATATTTACTTTTCAGACAGGTGTTCCACAGGAAAAACTATAGATGAAAGAAAATCTCAGCTAAGTTACTTAAAGAAAATACAGATGTGTTTATACTTCAGAGACTGCTCCTAATAAAAGTTTTACAGTTTTCAATGCTGTTCCTCTTGAGAATACTCCAAGTTTTTGCTTCCTCTGAAAGCAAGCAAATTAGCCTATAGAGAATTGAATGGAAACCCTGCAGAGTGCAGGATGCATGTATCTATTTCTCTGAAAAGGTCGTTTTTCCCTCTTGGCTTCTTGCAGTGAGAGGCTGCCAAGTACAGTAGTTTACGTTTCTGAATACACCATGAAGCAGAGTTGCTTTCACTCAGTGTCAATACAAATTCTCACAATACTGAGTCCAATAAAAAAGAAAGAATGGAAGGAAAATTTTGCAATGCTAACTGAAGTATAATTGCAATTCAAATATATTTTGAGCCACACAGTGTATATGCAGGAACTAAATAGAAAATGATTATGAACATGCACACTTTTTGGGTGGGGGTTGAATAATACATCTGAGTACCATCACTATCAACTGCTTATCACAGAGCCTTTGGGAGACAGAAAAAAATAAGTGCATTATTTATTATACCCAAAAAGGAATATTGTTTTGCAACCACCTACTAAATTGACTTACATGATAGTCTATATACATGTCATGAAGTCTGTGATTCAACTAAGCTTCTACATTTTAATATTAAAAATCTACAGAAATTATGAACATAGAAGCAACAAATGACCAAACTAGTAGCATCACACCCTGTACTGTATATGAGCTCCACAAAAGCCATTTATTTAAAAAATGGCAATATAAATTAAATAGTATCCAAGACTGGAAAGTTGTCAGATTAAATGAACTCTTGGTTTGATCTTCACATAAATGTTCTTGTCTAACTTTCCCCTAAAAATAGCCTGCTTGTTGAACAAATTTGAAAACTCTGTTATTATTTGGTCCAACTAAAAGTATAGTCTCACTTGGTCTGGGATTGTTCTTTCTATAGGACCAGTACAGCACTTAAAAGCAATGCCAATGGATTGGTTTTCAAAAAACTCAAAGCACATGAATCCTATCTAATTTTTAAAAACTAAGCAATGTATTTATTACAGGTTCTACGTTAGAATCTCTGTAGTAGCTGAAATATATATTGTTTACCAGTGCAGATAGGATCAAAGTTTGCCACAAAATACCTAAGAAAGACATTCACAAGTAGTTATTTTAATGATGGTTTGCACTGAGAATCATATAGGAGTCCACAGAAATGGATGATCACTTGAACCTGAAAAACTGATCCCAGAACTGAGACCTGACATTTTGGTGTGTTGGGCCCTGGTTGTCATAAGCTCTGATTGAGGCTTGATTAAATGAAAGCCACTATATGAAGAATTGAGGCTACCACTGGCTGGATCCCTTCTTCCTACTTTAATCACAGAAGATGCATCAAGTAATTTTATTTCTGGGCAGCTGAGTTGACTCTGCACAAGAGACTAAAATGGTCTGAATAGAGTCTATGTTCTGCAAGTTTGCCATTCAACCTCCAGTTGTGTAGATGCAATTAGCTCTAGGTGAATACGAACCCCTCAACTGACTAAATCTGATCTAGATGGAAGACTTTTTATGGTGGCCTAGTAAGTGGGAGTATTCAGATCTTCTGGTATCTGAGTAACAGAAGGAAAAACCAAAGGAGGAATGCTAGCATTTGCACCAGATACTTTGGGTGTGGTCTCTAATGATAGATTTTGCAGGAGCTAGGCAAGATGGTTCTTCTTCTTTTGGTAATTCCCATTTGGGCAACCAGGTTCCCTGGTGGCAAAAGACTCACTCTATAAGACCCCATGGAATTGCAACAGCCCTGAGACAGGAAGGGAATTTGTTAGCACAGATCACCTGCCTTATTGAATGGTAAAAGTCTCAGTGGAAATTGGGCCTGTTAACTATCAGGGAAGATCAGTAGGTCTAGTGCTTCCACCTATTAACTTCCTCCATTGCCTCCACTCCCCAGAAGGATTGAGAATGATCTTTCACCTAAGGAAACTGCATAACCGACTTCTATTATGCTGCAGCTGCTGAAGGTGGTCCCTGAGGAAAGCTACATGGAGAACTGCCTTGATAGGTAACCACATATTCTGGTGAAGATACTATTCAGATTCCCAATCCATGAAAGGTCACCTGGTGTAGATAGTAAAGAAGATGACCTTGATGGAAATATGCAAGAACCGTTACCTAGGCAAACAAAGCTGAAATACTTTTCAAGTCCAGAGTAATGAGATAACATTTGGAAGCAGCTCAGGCAGACACCTCCCTAATTCACTGAAGTATAAAACGGAGAGGAGGTACAGCACAATCAGACTTGCAAGATTCTGTTAATATAGCCAATCTCAGTAAAGATAGTTTTCAGCCTTCCTGTGGAGTTGATTTCCTGGCCTGGGGCTGAGTTCCCATCTGTCAGAAACCTTTCCTGAAGTACCCAAGCAACTACTCAAGCCTTCAGAGGTCATAGCAGTAAAGGAAATTAAAAGAAATTAAAAGAAAAAGAACTAGAAATCGATTTGGTACAGCTTAAGAGTGTTGCACAGCTTTGTGTGTTAAATGTATAGCATACCACAATGCTAACTTGGAAATTAATAAAATTGTTATATAACAAATTATACATGCAATACAGTACAGGATGAAACCTCAGACTACTTTTAAGATTCTAACCAGGTGGCAATTGTTTCATAAATATTCAAAACGTTCCATACCTGATACAGCAATTTTTTCACCTGCCAAAGTTCCATTTTCTTGCTGAGCTACCAGATCTTTCAGTATAACTTGCATGGCTCCCAGTCTTGGCAGTGTAACATGTGTAAGAAATGGCAAATTGTTTTTCTTGGCAAACCCCTGACTGGTTTCTCTTCTTTTTCTAAGAAAACCACCTTCTGGAAACAATACAATCCACTTGCGATCACGGCTCCTGTAATATTTTTCTAGATGTTCATGGAGAAGCACAAGCTGCTGGTCACGATAAGCTTTTCCCTAAAATGGAAATGACGAAGAGCATACTAACTAAAATGTCAGAATAATGTCTACTTTCCCATCCAAATTAGTTATTATTTACTCAAAGAAAAACTCTAAACCAAGTTGTTTCAGTTAATTATGAATTTAGAAAATAAAAAAGGGAAACATGAAAGTAATGTTATAATCACAATATTTTTACAAGACTTAGGCTTCCTTTATCAACAGCTAGGTTCATACATTGCCCCAAGCCACAATATACTTTGTCTGATTATAGCTTAGTACTGTATGATGTGGGAACCAAGCTCATATGGCTTTTTAAACTATAAAATAAGCCATGGCTTACTGCATTGAATGATCTCATACAAAGTGTTTGGTTTAAGAGTATTATTAGAAATCAGATACAAAGGTAAATCATGGAGTTGTCCAGTATTTAAGTAAGAAGACATTCATATTTTTTGTAGTTTACAAACAAAACTATACACACCAACTTCCATGCTTCACTGAAAGAACAAGGAATGATAAAAGAACAATACCATTCACAGAAGTGAAAGAAAGATAGCTTTAATTCTGTTGTCAAGTTTAAGTGCTGGTCATGACCTAGAGAGCCCTTTATGGTTTGACACCAAGTTACCTTCAAGACCACAGTCATCCACTAGAATTGGCCTGATCAAGTTGATCTCACTGAGAAAAGCAGTTGGTAGTTCTCCACTTTGGGGAATGGGGGAGGAGGGGGAGAAACCTCAGAAGTGCTGCTTCTGCCACTAGAGATTAGGCTAGCTCTTATTTGAATTGCCTTCCAGAAGCATCTAAAAACAGAACTCTTCCAGAGCGTGTTTGGGATGTGGCATCAGGGATTTTTATTTATTCTACATGTTTTTGGTGTTTTCTATTTTTAATTCTGACTGTGTATTAACTGTTGCACTCCCATAAAGCACTGAGAGTCTTGTGGGCCGGTGGTGGGGCATAAATGAAATTAAAAAAAAATAAACGAACAAACATCAAGATAGGAGTGTATGGGCAACAGAGAGAGAGAGAGAGAATGCAATCCTATTCTGGCTCTAGGAAGTATGTACACGGGTAAGGACATCATTCATAGGGGAGACAGACAGATATAAAATCACTAGCAGGCAGTATAATTATATTTTATTTTATTTTCAGTGTGGTAAGCACTATGTTTAGTAAAAAAAAAAAGTGATTTATACAAATTATGCAAATTTAAAATTATCTTTGCTTGCATTTTTCTAAGTTTCCTAGCAATAAGGTCAAATCAACAGCTGAGCAGGGGTCAAATCACTTCTTGCAAAGTACCCTATTTCTGCAGATGATCTTCCATACATGTATAAAACACTGGGTTTAAGCATGAACCTTCAGTTTTAAGAAATAATTCTCTCCCATCCTAACCCTAGAAAAGGGCATCCAAAAGCTGAAAAAGCATCATAATTGATGCCTGGAAATTAAGAGGTGAGCTTTGTGTAAAAAAGCTAATTCTTTTAATCTTATTTAAAAAATAAAAATTAAAAGGGAAAAAGTGAACCTAGATTGTAAGTGAATCTGTCCATGTGGCTAAAGCCAATCTGATCAGCTTTATCATTCAACAAACCTGATCATATGCTAATCTGGTTAAAAGTAAGCTTCCCAGCCAACAGGCAATCAAGTTAAAATTAAATACTTGTGAATTAATAATCCCTCCATTTCTCCCTGTCAGCCCAACAAGGTAGACCAGATTAAGAAACCAATGCCATATAGGTCAGGACTACTTTTAGTGTAGTGCTGAATGTACTTCCCCTCCTTCATTTTATCTTTGTGGGAGCTAGGGAGGGGCCTGCCTGACATGTTTACTCAAGCCCTTCTATCTGACCATTGCCTTGGTAATGGCTCTTCCTGCTGCCTTCAAGGTCATTCTCTATGTCCTCTACACTCCCGCTCTGACATCATCTTACTTATTTGGGGGATAAATCCAATTAAAATATGTTCCTGCCATTGTTTCTTTTGCTGCTAGCTTTATAACTGGAGTCTCCCAAGATCAACAATTTCAGGCCAAACAGAAGTTAATACTCAAAGCCCCTAAACACTGTCCATTTATTTTCATAATTTTCCACAGAAATGTGGAGAGATTATAAACTGAGAGAAGTGACAAACTGCTGCTTTAATGGAAGCTTTGATGGACTGATCAAAGCAACTTTCCTGCAGAATAAAGAAAATTTCCTGTTTTTCCTAGGTATAGCCATAGTTGCTAAGTCTATGCGCCTCTCACCTGGAAAGTGTGAGCAGGATACTAGGATAGAACTGAAGGTCTGATGACACACTATAGAACTAAACTACATTTAAAGAAGAGAAGATAAGGATCCCAGAATTTTGCAGTGCTATGATCATTCTATTTTGAACCCTCATAATTATTTTGTGGCCTGGATCTAGGCCACTTCCATTCTTCAGCTACTCTCTAAAGTGGTCCATTAGGAAAGATAATTTTTGAACCCACTCTTCTTTCTCCAGGAAGCATTTTTTGTTTTTAAATTAAAGCCTACATGTTCACCTTAACCCCCTTGGAAGTTAATAAGGGTGCTTGTCCTTATCTCTTCTTCTGTCTTTGACTTTCTTTTTCTGCAAACGCTGCTGAACAGCAGGAAACAAGTTTCCAAAGAGCAGAATGTTGCATCTGCATCAGTAGTATTCTCTGAAATACATAGTCTTGATCATAACCATATATCTTAGGATTTGCTAAATGAATAATTAAATAAAGGTATTTGCAACAGTCTATAATACTACAAAAGTCCCTCAATTTAAGGTTCTTTGCCTATGTGTCTACTATGTAGATCAAATTAACAGATTTATATGGTTCATAAGGTAGATTTATGGAAGCTGAATTTTACAGTTTAAATAACCCCTTCCAAATGGTTTTGTACATCAAGGGTATATTATTACAATTTTTGGTCCACTGACATTTTAGAAAGGATGCAAAATATTGTTTCTTTCCAGTTCCAAAGTGTCATCTATAAGTGTAGGAGGCACCAGGTATATAGAAGTCATTCAGACAAAGCCAAAATATGGGTTAATATTAAGAAAAAAAATATTTGGACTCACTTGTTCCTATCTCCCACTGCAAAAGGTTAGAAACTTGTAGCAAACCATTTACTCCAATCCCAAAAAAAGCATGGTCTGCTGCAAACAGAGGCCTGAAACTTCTAAGCTGATTAACAAAATAAATAGGTAGCATATCTATCCATAACACCAAACCAGTGTTCTTAGTAGCTACTGTATGTTTCTCCACATTCTGTTAAAATTTTTATTAGTTGCTGACACTATCTGAAAATGGATTTCAATTTAATATATACTGACAATCATAGCAAGATACAAATAAACATTTAGGAAAGCAGATTTTGCTATTAAAATATTTGTAATTCTTGCCTGTCTTATAAAGAAGTCTCCATGAATCAGAGATACAATTCCAAAATTTGTGTATTTAAAAATATGATCCATCAGCCACATCATCTGACGAACAACCTGGGAAAATTTAGATAAGAAATAGTGTGTATTCTGCATATAAACAAAACAAAAATCAGAGATAGTTCTTCCGTCCCATCAGATATAAGCATGTGTTTTCAGTAAGAGACATACAAGCAAATATATAAAAATAAAAAAATAAAAAAATAATTATTAAATAGAAAACTGAATACAAATGGCATCCTTAGAGATAATTTTCATGTAAACATTTTTACTAAAAGCCTATTAGCTTTCAAGAAGTATTTACTAAAGCAACATTATTTCTCAGTGTATTTCCCCTATATAAAATCAACAGATTTCTATTTCTTCAGCATCTTGGATAAATCTTATTATTTAAAATCCACTTTCATTAACTAACATTTTTAAAGAATCCTTTACACAATCTTTATTTCTATATAAGCATTTTAATATTGTGTTTTATTTCATATAAGAAAAAATAAGAGAATACAAAACAAACATGGAGAGGTAAACAGGATTTTCAAAACTATATGGATTATTCAAAAATTATACCTACCCAATAAAACTTTTTAGGAAGTCCTTTAAACTTTTCTATTTTAGAAGGCATTCATTTACAATGTTAATTTTTAAGATTTTTGTAGATGAACAAAGCTGCAAAAATTAAACTAATTATCTTATTATCCCCATATTCATTTTAAACATGCTGTTGTTGTCTATTTTACTTGTCCCATTCTGAATTATACAATTTCTTACACTACAAAAACAAGGAGATAAGAAAAACCACACAGACCAAATTAAAATGTCTCATGGCCATCACCAGTTTCCCAGGATAAAAATATAAAACAAAAACAGATACATGCAGAATAGTACAGACAATCCTTGGGTTACAATGGCAATTAGGACTGGGTTTGCCATTGCTAAGCAATGCGGACGTAAAGCAAGATGTCACGTGACCGCATCACTTAGTGATGGCAATTCAGGCAGTCCCAGGTGCCATCATAACCCCAAGACACGTGGTTCGTTAAGTGGGAAGAAACAGGAGTCCCAGGTAAGGAGTGTGGTGATGCCGCAGAGGAAGCCCACCACAGGCCGTACGCAAGTTATGGGACGGGGGTGCTGCGGTGTGGCACAAGCCCAGGAAGGCGGTGCAGGTCAGTACACAGGAAGGCCAAGGGAGGGACTTACCAGAACTTGCAACCTTCCCTGCTGGCTTCCCCATTGACTTTGCTTGTGGGAAGCCAGCAGGGAAGATCACAAATGGTGATCACATGACTACGGAACACTGCAAGAGTCGTAAGTGCAAGCTGGTTGCCAAGCATTTGAATCACGATCACATGATCACTGCAGGGGCACTGCAAGAGCCAGAACTTTGAGGACTGGTTGTAACACTCGTTCAGCACCATAGCAACTTCGGTCACTGAACGAGTGGTCAGTAAGCAGGGACTATCTGTAATACTTTTTATTATATGAGAGCGTTTTGCATGTAGGTTTTGTCCATGCTGAAATTTATAAAATTTAAATAGAAAGTAGCCCTCTGGATAAAAATCTCAGGTTCTACTTTATTCCATTTACCAACCAACATTTAGACATTCAGCTTCAAAGTAATTATTTAAAACAGACAACAACAGATTCTGTATTTTGAGGTGTAAGTTCTTTCTATTATAGGAACAGCTATAATTTTCAATGTTTGTTCAATGAATATATAAAACCCAGAAAGATGTATGATCAATAAAGGGATATGTTGAATAATAGTTTGTTCTGATATAAAAATATGATCAAAATAAATTTAGCATTAACACTGATTTAAATATACAATATACATATGAATGTTAGATATATTTACCATTCAAATTGTCTAGGCAGTTTTAAAGTTATTTAAATTCAACACACTTAGTACTGAAAAGTTTCATTTCAGTATTAACTTTCAAAGCAATTCAGTTTGTTTCCTTGTTTTTATTTTTAAGCAACATTAGAAAAAAATAGCATCCATGACATTTTGCAGTGTTATTACCCTAATTAGAAATAAAATTAAATACTAAATCAATACAGTCTCAAACTGATTTCTAATTTACATATTTCTACTGCATATATATATCCCACCTTTTATCTTCAGAGTTCAAGATGTGAATTCCCCTTCATTTTATCCCCACAACCACGATTTCTGTGAGGACTGAGCTGAGAAAAATCACTGGCCCAAACCTACGCCATGACTTCTGTGACCAAGTAAAGACCTGAATCTGGGTCTTAATCTAAATCAGCTCAAAAGTCAGCATTGTAATTATTCCTTTATAAATTATAATACTTCATGTATCCCCTTATAAAGTCAGTAATCAGAAAAAGATTACTGAACATTATTACAGAAAAAGATTACTGAACATCAAAACTGAATATAAAATGCAAAAATCCCATTTCATCTTGCATATAATATGTAAGAACATTTTATAGAAAAAGATTACTGCAACAAAGTAAATTTTATTTGGCAGCCATTATCTCCTGTATGTAAATGTAAAAGAAAAGCAGTTGCTGACCTTGAATGCCCAACTGCTTTGCTTTCTATTCCTTGGTAAAAGTAGCATTCACTACACTGATTAAAATAATAACTGTTCTTCAAAAGTGACAAAGCAAATCTATTGCTTTGTACCTTCTGCTGATCTAGCTTATTTTCCTGAGAAACTGTACAGCATCTCTTTCTTCAAGATGTTGGATGAGGGGAGCCAGAACAGTCAATGGCATGCTCTGAACAATTTGCATCATTCTTTTAGAATAAATGTGAATAGATCCAATTTGAACTTAGTTTTTAGAGTAGGGAAAAAATGTAGGCATGTAACCCAGCAACTGTTTGTGAAAGTGCATGGAGAGATGTGTGCCACTACCTGGTCACTTGACTGTTGCACCTCTTGGCTGTTTTGAATTTGTCAGGATGAGACTAGCTCCATGATCAAGATATATAATAATGCCTCCTTCTGGGAAGGATATGTCCAATTCTCATCTAAAGGAGTAAGCAATCAGATCTTTACAAAGAAATGGTCCCTTAACCTGGGAGACTGGTCTAAATATAGGCCAGTCTCAAATGTTCCATTTCTGGGAAAAGTAATGAAGGTGTGGCCTTACAGCTTCAGACTCATCTGAATACTGATCTTCTGAATGAATTTCAGCTGGGTTTTTTTAGCCAGGATATGATACTAAAACTCCACTGGTTGCCTTTGTGGATACCTTTACTGAACACTGGATAGGGAAAATGTGAGTCTGCAAGTTGTCCTGGACCTCTCGGTAACTTTCAATACCATCAAGTAAGGTATCCTTCTGGGCTCCTAATGGCTTTGGGACATCATGATACTGTGTTACAACAATTTCTGTATTTCCAGTTGGACTCTGTCCAGAAAGTGGTGCTGAAGGCTACTGCCTTATGATGTCCCACAGGCTTCCATCTTGTCATCCATGCTGTTCAACATCTATGTAAAGCCACTGGGAGAATTCATCTAGAGTTTGGAGGATGGTCACATTATACTAATGATACCCAACTCTATGGCTCCCTACCATTGAATTCAATCAGTACTTTTGAATGTTTCCTAAGTTCAAAAATGGGTTGGATGAAAAAGAACCAGCTGAATTAAATGAAGACAAGATGAAAAGTTTGTAAGCAGGACTCAAGGACTGAGGTTCAACCTCTTTTGGATAAGATTGCATTCCCCCTAGAAGATCAGAATCCCAGTGTAGGAATGCTCCTTGAACCTCAGCTGTGACTGGAGTCTCTGGTGACAGTGACAGGGGAGAAAGGAGGATCTCTGCACAACTACTTCTAGTGCACCAGCTGCATCCTTCCTGAGCCAGTCATATTTGACTGCTTTATTCATGCTCTGGTTACATCCCAACTTGTGTACTGAAATGTGTTCTACTGGAAGAGCACTTGAAAAATATCTAAACATCGATGTTAGCACAAAACACTACAAGTAAATCTTGTAGTGCAAGACAGGGATTCAAATGATGCCTGTGCTGAAAGATCTGTACTTGTCATCATTTGCTTACTGGGCACAATTTAAGGTGCTGTTAATTACCTTTATAGTCTCAAAAAAATAAGGCCCTGGTTACCTAAGGTACAGCTTCTCCTGTTACAAACTTGTTTCATTTGTAAGATCAGAAACAGAGGTCCTCTTGAATATGTCCATACCATCAAAAGTTCATCTTTCTGGCATGTGGGAGAGGCAATTCTCTTGCTATGCATCAACTCTCTTGGGATTTTCATCTAGCCCCCATTATCTCAGGGTTTAAGAAATTTGTAAAGAGCAACCTTATCCATCAGACTCTTATTTATCAGAGGATTTGATGATTTTGTTTTTTAAATGTCCATATTTTAACTTCAATACTTGAATTTTTCTGTCATGACTGTATATCAGAGCAGAAAAGCGGGATAGATAGAGACAGACGCATACATATATAATACATAGTCTTTAATGCTGCCTGACTTGCACACACCCTCTATGATTTGTATGTCCTGCTTCCAAAGCACCAACGTATAAATAATATAAGTTAATGTGAGACGATATAGAAATAAAAAATATGGTTAAAGTATTGGATGAACATAGATTTGTGCATGAGTCTTCCAATGCTATACTTCTGAGAAATTACCCAGATGGTTCAACAAGTGTATTAATGGAATATATAAAATTATCATACCGTGCCTTTGTCTTGAAGGCACATCATTAGAGTGCAAATATCTCCTGTTGCTTGATGGTTTACCAGCATCACAGCTTCATCTTCTGAAATTGTTCTAACATCATCTCCCCATTCCATGACTGTGCAAAACAGAAGGAAAGTACAGACTTACTTAACATAATGATCATTTACGCTAATTTAAAATAGATAAAAAATAACTCATGTTCCAGAGATATTCCAACAGATTATAGTACATTAATTTGTAAATTTGGAAGGCTTCAAATATAATACACCATTTAAAGCTAAAATGAAGTTTGATAGAAATACTTTCAAATTCTCTCAAGCCAAGTATTCTTAGACAGCTTCAAATTTATTTTCTCCTACATTTATTTTTCCCCAAAATTTTCCCCAATTGCTAATAAATTTATGCATTTTCAGGGGAAACGTGTATGCAAAAACCATTTAATTTGAGATGCCACTATATAAAAAATTACTTTATAAGAAGGATGAACTTGTTACACATAGATAGTACGGGTAGTTCTCAGTTTAAGAACAAATTCCGTTCCCAAGATTTGTCCTTAAGTTGAATTTGTATGTAAGTCGGAATAGTATTATTGTATAATACAAGTAGCATTGTGTAATGAACTTGAACCATTGTGTATTTAACTCAAATCATTGTGTATTTAACTCAAATTTTGCTACAATAGGCTCTGTTGTTAACTATGGGTCATCTGTAACCTAGGTGTTCTTAACTCGGGGACTACCTGTAATGTACATGAAATCAAAATTTCAATAGCAGTGGAGACAAGAAAAAATGAAGGCTTATAAAAATGAAGCAAAACTACAATAGAGATCTTACAGTAAAATTTCTGAATCCAAGAAGGAATACACTAGATTTTCCATTTGTAAATTGTTATATATATTGAACATTCATTATCTTTGAAAATAAGTAAAAATAATGCAATGCAAAGATATGGCAAAGTCTCCTTCAAGGTGAACTCAACGCTTGATGATTTCATGATCATGTCCTTGTTATTTTCAGAAATCTTGAAGTGGTTTGCCATTGTATTCTTCCATCATTATTTTCTTAATTTTTCACTCTAGCCTGATATTTCTCATAAATCTCCCAGTCAAATACCAATCCAGTCCAATCCTGAGCCTGGTTAGGAGCTGCCACTTGTTGAGACTATGCAAAGACGAAACGGCAATAAAAACTTTGAGAGCATTCTTCATTGAAGCAGAAAAATGGTTACAATGCTTCTGTATATTTTTAATTCAAGCATTGATATTCTGGTACCAAATGTCTAAAATTTAAAAACACTGATGAATGAGAAAGATTTGCATACAGTAAAACTTTTGCCTTCACAAGTATATAGATGTGCCTACCCACAATACTGAATCACACATAAGTTTAGTGTATCATAAAACCCCACTTTAGTTTTTTGGGTGACACAAATCCAGCCCAGATACAGTTACAGTTCAGTGTATTATGCCAATCCCCAAAAATGGGTCAATTTCAGTTAACCATGGATAAATATGTCATGTGATAATAGCCTATGACTGAGCAGGATGTGTGAGCAGAGCTGCAAAACATAAATCAGTTGCTAAACTTATCATAGGGCAATTATGATTCAAGTTTTTATTTTCAGAACTTAAAATACACTCCCTGATAATGGACCACTTTGTGGTTTTCCTATGAGCATCCTGATACTAGCTCATATCCAACACTGAAGCTAGCTGGTTTTCTTGCAGGGGAGAATCATGCTTGAACAATTCTGAGAATAAATTTCTTTGTGAGTTCTCCCATATGAACCATCTACCTCTTGTAACTATTACTGAAATATCAATTTCATATGTCATCTTTAAGAAAAGTAAAAAACCCTGGAATATGGTCACCCAATAATACTCCTAGAGATGTAGAATGATCTCCATCAAGAGTTCCAGTAATAATGTAAAGCTCAATTATCTAGGAAAGCTTTGGTGCATGAGGAATGTCAATTTCTAAGTGTTATTCTGTAAAATAGCCTGAACTAATTTTAACTCCATTGTGGAATTTTTAGATAGAATTCCCTCACCACAACCAGTATGTTGTACAGTTGCCTTGATCCCCTTAATGTTTAATTTTATTATCTGTTCAAGAAGATCTTATATGCAAAATATTGGAAGCTAGAAAATGTTTCTAAGAAAAAATTCAGTATGGGAAAATAACATTCATAATTATGCTCTTCCAGTTAAATTAGGTGAGGTCTTAAGATAGAAGGTCAGTACTCCCAAATTTTTGTAAAACTGATAAATGCAAGGAAATATATCTGTAAATAATGATCATGTTTTTCACTTAATGATAAAAGATACAGATACATTATTAAAAACTCTAAATTTTTAAAGCTTACTATGGGAGGGAATAGTTATCCTGAGAGAACATAAAATTTCTTCTACCAACTATCTTCAGAGCCTCTGTAATAAGCAAAACTCAAAGTCTCTTATTCTTATGCATTTGACAAAACTGGTCAGAGTCTAAATTTTATCTTAAGTTCAAAATACACATACACATTTTCGTACATAAAAATGTTCATATGGCAAGGTAAGGTAAAGTGACCTGAGTTAGTAGAGGTGGCATAACATTTAAAATATGTAAGTTCATACACAAACATAAATAGACCTATCAACTCCTCACTGCAATGCCTCCAGAAAATCAAAGACATGCACATAGATGAAGATGAAATTATGGTCTCATTTGATGTCACAGCACTCTTC